CTGAGGAGGGCATTCATAGGTTCCCAATGATTAGTTGACTATCTCCATCCACAATCATTGTTCCTAAGAGATTTCCCCAGCTCTGTCAATTATCAGTGTAACATAGGTGAGAAAATTCCCCAGGTGACTGTTTATTACCTTTGAATTTCTTCATTATGGTCTCCAGAGATGCATTTCTTTGAGAAGATTCCCAGATTCTCCATTTCAGTTCAGAAGAAAAGGCCACTGGGTTCTGAAACTTCTCCCTCTCGCATCTGAAGAACAACCCAGTGTTACTCATTGCGGAGTTCGGTCATATTTGTGTTTTACTAACATGTGTTTTACTCCAGTGAATGGTTGTAGCTCAGCAGACCCTGGAGGATTAAAGTCTCTATTGCCCCAGGAATAGGTCTAATCCCAGCTTGGACACTACAAGCTTCCCCTTCGTTTTGGTGAGACTGATACTGGAAAACTGCATCCAGTTCCGGTCACTTGACTTATATCCGTACACCATTTAAGCGAGATAATGAGCGACAATCCTTGTGGTGATGTAGATACCCATCGTACCAGGACCTGGCGTGAGACCCACTAACCCATTTCAAAGATAATTTATGTTTTTATTTAGTTCTTTGGATACATACAATGGTCAGTCCACTAGCACAGGGGTTCTCAGCTTACAAAGGCCAGTGTGTGTCCACTCCACACTGAGGAACAACAAACTACTGAATGAACCTGCACTGCCCAAGGGAGCCTTGAGCAGTGTGAGTCGGTGCAGTTCTGTGGGGCAGGGCTGGAGCTGGGGGGAACTGGCTGGCGCCTTCTATTGCTGGTTCATCAATGGCTGGGAGAGGATTCATGTAACACAGCTGGGCGTGTCCCTGCCCGTAGGTGTCTGTGTCAGCGCAGGGCCTGCCAGGCTTGTAGCTTGACATCAGCATCACAGTGCGAGAGGCAGCCCAGGTCGGGGATTTGGAGGGCTCAGAAGTCCCACAGTCCAGGCTGCACCCCGGGAACCCATCACACTGATGTAAATCTCCCTTGTGGCAAATTAAACCGATTACTTCTTGTTCTGCCCTCAGGGGACTTGAAGACCAACTGATCACCGCTCTCTGTAGAACAGCCTCAGACAGATTTGAAGACTGTCATCAGGTCCTCCCTCAGTCTTCTCTTCTCTACACTAAACACACCCATTTATTTCAACCTTTCCTCACAGCTCATCCATTATAATCCTCGGATCAGTTTTGTTGCTCTCCTCTGAACTCTCTCCAATTTGTCCACATCTTTCTTAAAGCTGAGGCCTCCCCATGGCAAGAAGGGTGGAACAACATCCTCCTGTGTCTTACATATGCTGGGAGCCTGGCCCTGGGGGAAGGGCGTACTTAGAATCTTAGGGCTAGAAGGGACTGCCAGGGTCATCTAGTCTAACCTCTGCAAGAGAGAAGGGTGGAGAAGAAAGCCTATGGGAGGTGAGTAGGAGCAGCCCAGGGAGCGAGCAGACCTTGCCTGCATGTGGTAGGGTCCCTGGGCTGGACCCTGGAGCAGTGGGCAGGCTCGAGTTCCCCTACCAGCCACTGATGGAGCGGCATTGCCTGGGCAGTGGGACCAGTGAGACTCTGTACCCCAGAAGGGGAAACCATTTAGTGACCTGGCTGGAGGCTGAGTCACGAAGAGGAAGCAGCAGCTCCTGGAGTGAGAGATGAGGCTGCAGAGTGAGAGAGAGACAACAGGGGAGAGACGGCAAGGGGAGGGGTTGGCCCTGGAAGAGAGCTAATCCCCCGAACAGCCAGGAGGAGGCACCACCTGCGGTGAATACAGCAACCTGGGACAACATCCCACAATGACATTCGCCTTTTTCACAAGAGCATCACACTGCCGACTCCTTCAATGTGTGATCCACTGGAACCCCCAGATCTAGGCAGAGGAGAGCCCCAGGCCATCAGTTGCCAGGAGACAAGGTGTCGGCCATTCTCTGTGCAGACACCATCACACTGCCCCCCTAGGGCTCTGCAACAATCACACACCCTTATCCCACCACCTAGATACTTAATAAATACACGAGGGAAACTGAGGCACCTGCACAGTATTCAGAGAAAACATTAAGAACTTTCCCACTTCGTCACACTATTTTAGCAATATTATATGTTCTGACGATTCATGCCTACACTAGAAAAGTGAAGAGTTAGGAGACTTTCTTGTCCTGTGAAAGGTTCTGGGGTGTTTCTAACACCATCTCACCTCCAGGAATTTCTTCGCTGGCTGCTGGCACTTCTGCTCCATCTCACTGATCAGGGAACTGAAAGAAGATATTTCCTCAGATAATTTGGCAACATACTCATCCCTCCCCTTTTCAATTTCCTTATTCAGCTCTTCCAACTGGGCCAGCTGGAGTCGCTCTTGTTCCTCCAAAAACTGGCGCAGTTGCTGAAATTCAGACACAATCTTCTGCTTCTCAGTTTCTTGTTGTTTCTGAAATGATGAGATACGAACAGGAAAAGCACAGGTCAAGGACAAGACTACGGAGTGAGTCATGGGACATTTTATGCACGTGGCATCATGTCATTGCAACCCCACAGAATTTAACTTCTGACATTTGATGGAGAACATACTCTATGCTCAGTAGACAGAAGATTTTCCAATAGATTTTCAAGGGTCCTAACTGGTGTTTAGAATATGAATTTTTCTTGCATGATTCAGATAATCTGTGATCAGTGGCTTCTAGAAAACCAGATCCTTCTAATAACAGGAAGCACAGCTGGTGTGGGATTCAGAATGGGACTGGCAAGGATTATATTAGTAGAGGAAACAGCAGAACCCAAACTAAGAAGCAATAGACTTGAACTGGGGAACACATGCTGTCCACAAAATACATAGAGACATAAAGGGCCTTTAAAAAAAAAGTACTAAAATTTGAGCTCCATCATTTGCTCCCATGAGTTCTGAAAACAGTTTTGGATACATAAAAATTGGCACACCGTACATCTTGGATTTTAAGCCACACAGGGACCTTGAGCACAAATTGGGCTTCCGGGAAGACCCTTATTTGCACACGCAAATCTGAGTTTGCAGGTTGCTTAGGGGACTTTGGGGAGGGGGTTGGAATGGGGGCGGGAAAAGGGCGGAGTCAGGGTGGGGCCAGGGCAGCAATTATTTCCCTGCCTAAGGGGGCAAAATTATTAATCCACCACTGCGTGACACCACTGATTTCCTGAGAAAACTACAATGTATTGGTGATCTCCCAGAAAACACCATCCTAGCCACCATGGATGCAGAGGCTGTCTACACAAACATCCCACACACAGATGGAATAAAGCTGTCAGGAACAGTATCCCTGATGATGCCACAGCACAACTTATTGCTGAGCTCTGTGCCTTTATCCTCACACACAATTATTTCAAATTTGGTGACAATATATACCTGCAGAACAGTGGTACCATTATGGGCACCCGCATGGCCCCATAATATGCCAACATTTTTATGGCTGACTTTGAACAACGCTTCCTCAGCTCTCGTCCACTCATGCCCCTTCTCTACCTATGCTACAGTGATGACATCCATGGGAAGGAGACTCTGGAAGAATTCCACTATGATTTAAACAGCTTCCACCCCACCATCAACCTCAGCCTGGACCAATCGACACGGGAGGTCCACTTCCTAGACAACACAGTACAAATAAGTGATGGTCACATTAACACCACCCTGTACCGAAAACCCACCAACCACTATGCCTACCTTCATGCCTCCAGCTTCCATCCCGGA